GTGAGGTGGTGCAGGCTCCCACCCTGGGGGTTTTTAAGAGGAGGTTGGATGACCACCTTACTGGGGTCATTTGACCCCAGTGCTCTTCCTGCCATGGCAGGGGGTCGGACTAGATGATCTGGTCAGGTCCCTTCCGACCCCTAGAAACTATGAAACTTAATGGAAGCAATGTTGAGCCTATGCTAACGTATTACTTTTGGTACCTTAAAAAGAAAAATCACAAGAGTCATTTAACAAAGGCAAGCTCATGTGTTTGATTCTACTTAAGGAGAACATGAGCCAAGGTGAAGGTCCCATTGTGGTTAAATGCCTTTTCCCCCTTTTTTGTACCATATATCTGTTGCTTTTAGGTAATAGTTCAGTGACTAATACCTATTCACATAGTTCATAGCAAAGACTCTGTCTTGTATAGAAACGTGGTGATGATGATTAAATCTTCTAACGAAAATATTTTGGAAGAATGAGAGAGCCTTGTTATGCCTATACTTTCAGAAATTAGGTCAGCTGAAGATAGTTTCCCATTACTTTTTTAATAAAATAGCTTGGGTTTCCTTTAATCTTAGATTATGATTAATAATAATTTTGTTTGGTTAAGATATTGTGTAAAAAACTATCTTGCAAGGGCCTGAAAATTGGCTGTTAGTAGCCTGAATAGCAAGGAGATGTAACACTACCCCTCTACTTTTTTTTATCCTTGTCTGTCTTTTACAGCTTGTCGACTTGGCTCATAAGCTCTTTGCAACAGGGGTCAATGTTGCTCTATGTGTATAAAATGACTAGCACACCTTTCAGGGCCATATATGATTAATAATAAAGGTGACCAACTTGATGGATGCTATGTTATGTTAAATAAAAATGGTTATGCATCAGAGCTTTGCCATCTGTCTTCAAATTGCTGTCCCTTTTTAAAGGACAGGAGACAATTTTAAGCTGATTTGGAACAGGAACATAGAGAATCCTGCTGTTTTAATTGGCAGCTCTGCTGTTGCCTTTTGACTGCAGTGTTACTTTTTCTCTGTAGGTGAGTCACCTCTTCACCTTGGGTGAGGCTGCCCAGCTGTGTCCAGCCAAAGTGGAGAAACGTATCTTTCTTTTGATTCAATCCATTCTGGCTGATCCTGTCCACGCAGAGCAATGTGAGACCCTCTCGTTGCTCTTAAATTTGCATTTACAAGCTAAAACTCTCTCTGGCCTTAAGGCTGCTTTAACTCTTTTATTTGTCTTTTATTTATCAGTGTCTAGTCCTTTAGATGGTGAAGAGCTCCCAGTTTCTCAGCCACTGTTCCAGTTCAGAGGATCTCCTATGCCCTCAGTCGTCAGAGCTCATGCCTTCATTACTCTGGGTAAGACTTCTCCAGCAGTGGGGATATGTACTGGGTACAGCTGCTTTCTGAGTATAGCTGGTCCCTGCCCTTTTTCTCTCTCCTCTTCTTGCTTTTGCAACACCTTTGGAACATAGATTTAGCAACAGATGTGAACAGTACTCATAGTTTATACTGCTACAGCTCTGTGCTGTCTAATAATGACAAGATGAGACAGAAAACAAGAAAAATTGGGATGTGGTATCAAAGTGTTAAAACAATGAATGCATTGATCTTTATATATCGTTACTTTGTCTGTCCAGGAGTAGTACAGTTAGCTGGATCAGAAGCATCCTGTAGACTTGTACCACTCTTGTACTCTTCTGCCTTTTGGTATCCCTCACACAGCACACAACAAGGTGCACTAAAAAGGGATGGAGAGAATTTGATACTTCTCTTCTAGTACAAGCTATTTTTCAGTCTGAGCTCAGTTAACGTTTCTATTTATATGAACGAAGAGCCAGAACCTTTGTGTAAAGGCCAGGTAAAATATGCATTACTTACATGTCAAAGTACATTAGGTGAGCTAGGTCCTCTCCTATCTCTGCTTTATACTTTCTGGGTGCATCTACATGTGCTATTAATGCACAGCAATAAACTCTGGTGCATATCACACTGGAGTTTATTGTTCTTGGGCCCTGAGTTTACACACGCCCCCCCAGGACTGCAACACATTGAGCTGGGTTGGAGCAGCTTTAGCTGACAGGGGACCCACAGGGCCCCTGTGCTGTGGAGGGGCTGGTTGGGGCAGCTCCGGCACTGAAGCACCCTCGTGCCCCAGCCAGTCCTGTCAGCATCTACGTGTGCATTGCGGTGGAGTAAAAAACTGCCGCAGGATAATACTTGTATTTACAGGTACTAACCTGTTGCAGAGTTACTTAGTTTACTCTGTCCTAATAGCGCTGCATGTGTAGATGCTAAGACATTTACTATGGAGCTAGTTAGGCAATTTCTCAGTAAATGTCTCATGTAGATGCACCCCCTGTGTGGTTACCTGAAAGGTGGTTATAATGGGAGCAGTGATAGACTTTTTGCTGTGGCCATAGGGGATGGGACAAGAAAGAACAGTCTCAAATTGCAGCAAGGAAATCTAGAGTGGATATTAGGAAGAACTTTCTTCCTGTTCGGGTGGTTAGGCACTGGAGTAGATTAGCTAGAGAAGTTTTGGGATCTCCGTCCTTGGAAGAGCAGATTAGGCAAATGGTGATGATCATGCCTGAAGCAAGATGGGTGGACTAGATGACCTCCTAAGGTCCTTTCTAACCCTGCTAAGGTGTTTAGAAATGGAAACATTCTTGGTCCTGGTTTGACAGGTAAGCTGTGCCTACAGCATGAGGATCTGGCAAAGAAGTGTATTGCAGCCCTAGCTCGTGAGCTGGAGGTGTCTGATGATGTGGCCATTCGCAATAATGTCATCATAGTCATGTGTGACCTGTGTGTCCGCTACACCACCATGGTGGACAGGTACATTCCCAACATCTCCATGTGCCTGAAAGACCCAAACCCATTCATCCGGAGGCAGACACTGATCCTCCTTACCAATCTTCTGCAGGTAAGTAGAGGGCTAAGGCACACTCTCAATACCCCACTCCAAGAGCCTCTATCACAGAATCTGCTGAATGGAAATGCTGCCTGTAGGTTGAGCCCAGAGTATTGTTACAATCTACCTAGATCCAAGGGAAATTCAGTCCTTAAGAATAAATTGTGTTACTACTGTTTTGAACAAAGGCTTCCAGCATGGGATTTCAGTGGTCTAGCCAAGTGACTATGGTCCTATTTATCCTATAATGTACTGTTTTCATGAATCTACCAATTTGCTCTGGGTAGGAGAAGTCTAGCTTTCCTCTCTTGTCTGTATAGATTGACCTAGGGACATAAATGTATGAGAGGCAGAAGCTATTTCCCCACCTGCTAATGTATATCCAAGGAAGCAAGGCTGTCAATTTGAATATACCTGTAAAGGAATACCAGATGAGCACATCAGCACTGGAGTCCAGATTTTCCCTTAGTTCTCTTGTTCAGCTAATGTTTCATAAACCAAACGGCTTGCAGCTGTGGCATTCAAGCAGAGTCCCTAACTCTGAGACTGTAGAATCCTTAGCTTTATTTTGTAAGTCTACCAATGTGCTCATTTGCCAGGTGCATGTTCTGTCAGGATCCAGAGAGTTCACTCTGGTTTCACTGTGAAGGACAGTTCAAGTTGGGATGCTCCTGGTCAAGCCAGCTTTTCACCATTTACCTCTCCCTTATAGGAGGAGTTTGTGAAGTGGAAGGAATCGCTGTTCTTCCGGTTTGTCAGTGTTCTGGTGGATCCAAGCCCAGATATTGCCAGGTAAAGCACCGGTTTTGTAAAACACCTGAGGGATCAAGTGATTAACTCTGAACTATAAAGCCAACGGAACTTCAGGTCTCAAATTTAATCTCAAGTCTAAGAGTATGGCTGCGCAAATAAGTTACTATGAGGGAAGTGAAAGGTGTGGACTTGCAGCCCATTCTGCAGTAACTGCCTGCATGATCCCATTTTCACTAGGAAGCAAGATACTTCATACTCGCAATGAGATCAGAGCTTGTGTGTATGCAGCTACTGCACCCTGTATTTCCCTTCCCTTGATTATGCCTTAAAGTGTTCAAATGGTGATAGAGGAGTAAATAACTTCACTCAGAATCTGCATTTATGTGTGCATATGAGAGCAGTAGTGCCCCTCTGCTTTTTTGTCTTGTCATGACTTGCATACAGCCCTGGAAATGGGAACTCTAAAGTGTGTGTTCTAAAATCTGCCCTCCCTTCTTCTCAGCAGGCAGTTTTTAGATAGCTAATCAGTAATCGTCATTTTTCTCCCCACTTTTTTTTTCTTTTGCTTCTAAACATCATTCCACTTTTCAGACCTCCCTTAGTACTGAAATATTTGGCAAAGAATGTGCAATATTTTTTTGCTGTATTCTTTGCTGAACTCTGATTTTATTGGGTTTCGTAGTTCTGCACAATGTGGTGCTCCAAGTATATTTTGATAAATGACCAGATGTCACAACCATAAGATGTAGTTGGCCTGGGTGTAGCAAGTCAGTAGTTCCAGTCCAATTTCTAATGGATATATGAATACTGGGCATAGCCACACTTGGCACTGATAGGTGCCCTTGTTTTTAGTCTCAGTAGGAAGGGCAAGAACTGGATAGGACATATAGAAAGAGTTCTCTTGGTAGTTCCTTCATGGATGGGCAGATTTATACTGAGGATGTTTTGATCAGAGGAGATGTTCTCCCCTACTTCAGAAAAGATCTCATTTTCCAAGACTATCACCTCAGCACTGGTGCACTAAGATGTTATTGTGGTCTCCTTCCAGTAGATGGTGGCCTTGCAACATCATTCACAACACTTTGGAGAGGGAACAAACACAGTTTCCATGAGGAGCCTGTTTCTGAGTATCTATATTCAGCAGGTGCACAAGGACAAAAACTCTTTATTCCCGGCTGGGATTGACCTACAGCTTTTGGCCTTGCAATGATTAACTTTGAAAAAACATAAAATTGGATTCTTGTTTAGCTTTCTTCCCTTTTTCTGTTGTGGGAAGGAGAACATGCACGTCTTAATTTTCAGCTGCTTCATTGTGCTGTCTTGCCAAAAAGAAATGAATTTGTTAGATGCTTATTCTCCAGAGCATGACTGGGGGCTTTTGATATGGGGCAGAGGAGAAGGAGATGGCCCAAAATAAAGTTCCATCATAAACGCTTTAAAAGGTAACTACTGTTCCTCTACTTCTACTCATACAATGAACAATATTGAGTCAATGCCAGAATGACTGTCAGCATTTTAAATAGTGAAGCTAAACACCACAAACCCACATTCAGATGGGGAAAATGGTCTGACCTGCATGTTCTCATGGGCTGTGTAAGCTGCAGTTTTTAGTATATCCTGCTGCAGACTGGCCTTCACTTCACTTTCACAGAATCATCTGACCTTCACTTCACTTTCATAGCTCTAGCTTTAAACCAAATTGTAACAATTTTTAATGTAATTTCATTAACTCTGGCTACCCACTCATGTGGCTCTTTACACTGCCCCTAGAGCTTGACGTAAGGAGTGTCTTTAACCGTGAGTAGCGAGGAAAGAAATTTAGGTTTTGCCTTCATTAAATTAAGAGTCTTGGAAAGATCTGCTTGCAGAATGGAGATGCTGACTTGAATTCCCAAGTGAAAAAGCAAGAATAAAGATTAAGCCTCTGGTCTTCTCTTGTTTTGCAGAAGTATCTGCTGGATATCTGAGAGTACATTTGTGAGCTCTGTCATACGTGAAGCTGGGGATGTTTCACTCTGACAGATGGCTTCCATTTAAAATATTAGTTAGAATTAAATTGCTGTTAACAAAAAGGCTTCCTCCCAAATACCTTTCACCCCAGCTTTATCGGTGCTGACATTTCTCCAAGAAAAATCACGTACAGAAAAATCCTGAAAATCTTGTGTGGTAAAGCAAAGGGAAGCTCCTTTCTTTTCTCTCCCCCCAAAAATACACCATGAAAAAACAAAAAGTTGGCACAGACTCCTCATCTAAAATCTTTTACAGATCTCCTGTAAACCGTAGATATGTATGACATCTAATATTTTTGGCTGGTCCAGTTAGATGCATCCTAACCTCATGAAATGGATTTAAAGACTGTGCTCCAGCTAAATACTTTTATTTTTTATTTCTGTCCTCTTTCCTTCCTTCCCCCTCACCTCCCTTTTCAAATTCTATTTTTTGTTTCTGCCAAAATGGCTTCCTGATCTCTCTGAGAGACCAGTGCAGCTCTCAAGAGACTCATTCTCTAGCATTTTTTTTTCTTTTTGATTCAAAGAATATGTAGCTTCATTTCAGAAGCTGCTCTTACTAGAGCAGCCTATAGTTTTGACTCTTGAATTGGATCTAGGATGCATCTTAAAGCCTTTGCGTGTCACAGCTGACATGAAGCAGCCAGAATCCTGGCAATACTCAAGCGTACATAAGGATTAATGACTTTGAACTTTCTGCATTGAAGGTGTTTCTGATCTCCCAGTGGGTAAAGGGCAGAATTTAAGCTACTGTAAATTGCCATTAGGCGGCGATGGACAGAGTAAGCAATGCGTAAGATCTTCCTGCATCAAAACCATTTCCAAACTATAGGCTTTTTCCAAGTCATTCCCTCTCATGAATACTTTAACCCTGTCTAAACACAGTCCACCTGTTAGGCCCAAGGCCAGGATGCAGCTGCTACCCAGGGGTCAGATTACCAATAACAATAGAGTCCAGGAAATTCCTTGGATATTTTTCCAGTGCACAGATGCTTCCTGAGGGACCACCAACATTTGTATTTCTCTATAGGAAATTAAATCAGTTGAGTGTTGCCCATAATCTTTTTTTCATGCGTTACTTATTGAGGTGTTGCTCAAAATGTTGCCCACCGGGCCCCTAAACAGAAAACCAAAACATAGGCCTGCCAGTTTAACTGAATTAATAGTTGGAAGTTGTTTTCCAGATTATGGGGTGCCTTGGGGTGAACTTGAGTTTCTCCTAGACTCGTTTCATGGCCTTTTGGCTAAGATCAAGTATTGTGCTCCTCAACTTAGCTTGCTATGGAGAATCAGTAGTGTTTCAAAGAGCCAGATGAGATGCAGTGCAAACGAACACTGTGCAGGATATTTTATAGAACTGTCTGTGCACCCCTCATGCTATCCTAGATGTTTCCAGGGCAGTGTCTTTGCTTTTGTAGTCATGCATGCCATGCTGCTCTACAAGTATGCCTGTGTCTAAGCAGAACAGACTCCAGCTGTTCTAGGTCAGTGTTCTCTCCCTTCTGGCAGTTGCCACTTGTGTGGTACCTTTGCAATTAGACTTTAGGCATGGGTTCTTCTGTAGCCCTCATGTCTAGTATCTGAACACCTTGCTACTACTGTGTTTATCCTTACAATCCACTTCACTAGGACAGACTATTGGCTCCATTTACTTGCAGTTAGAAAACTGACACATGGGAAAATAAAATAATGTGCACAAGGTCACACAGCAAGTAGATGGCAAAGCCTTGTGGAGCACTTAGGTGGTCTGAGTGCTGGTTGTATGTCTGAACTACAAAGCCATCTTTCACATGTGTGTATTGCCAAACCCAAATCTCAGTGGAGCATTTGTCCCATCAGTGAGCTCTTAATATCTTTGCAATTGTTTTGTTTAGGTTATATTCTTGATCCACAACAATGTGGATTCCAGGATCAGCAGGATGAGGAAGCCAAGCTCTGTAAAAAACCTTTGTATTATTCACTCAACTGCCTATTACCAGGACAAGAGCTGTAGTTATGTAGCAATTGGAATGGTTTCAGAAGCACCCAAGTTCCATTCTTGTCTTGAGCACTTCAGCTGCTAAGTCTCATTGACTTGGGAATTTCAAAATTATTTCCTTTTAACTGCTAAATTATCAAGAGAAATAAAAATATACCATGGATGCTGAAAAGATTTTCAGTCTGATCCTGGATGGAAAAGAAGCATTTGAAGTAGCTATTGTGGTATCTTGCTCTAAGTCCTGGTATGGTAGGGCAAGAGTTAAATCCTTTATTGAAGAAGAGTTTCCCCAGAGTCTTTCTGCCATGCAGTTTTTGCCCAGCCTTGTACGTCTCTGAATTAATGGGGCACTACGCTGTGTCTCGGGAGGTGGCTAAGTTTTCTGACTTTTCATTTCTCAATCCCATCTCCAGCTTTGGGGAGTTCTGCCTGGTGCACCTGTTGCTCAAGAGGAATCCAGTCATGTTTTCTCAACACTTCATCGAGTGCATTTTCCACTTCAACAGCTACGAGAAGCATGAGAAATACAATAAGTTCCCCCAGAGTGACCGGTCAGTGAATAGAGGCATGTTACTGGGGAGCATGGCCATGCACTTCTCAGGGGTGGAACAAAGCTTGCCTGCTTACTTGTTGTGTATGTGATGAAAAATAAGATGGCTAAGAGATCCTGTAGACGTAAGAATACAGCACCTCTTCATGACAGTTTCTGTGAGCAATTTACATGAATAATGCATCTCTTCCAGCAAATTTGTACATCTTGAAGGTGGCATTCAAATGTTTTGTGGAGATTTAAAATCCAATTATCTTTGTAAGCCCATACACATATATTGGCCCCGATAAAATTTTTCCATCTACCCCAGGGAGAAGAATCTCTTTTCTCTGAGGGGGAAAGATAACAAAGGAAAAAGAATGCACATTTACAGGTTTCTGCTAGAACATTTTACAGATGAGCAAAGATTCAGCATCACTTCTAAAATCAACCTGAATATCCTAGGTAAGGGCCTTATTTTTGAGTACAGAATATTAAGCTCAAGTTGAATCTGGGTTCAGCACTGGGATCATTATGTTTTTTACAACTTGGAATTGAGGTTCCTGGTTAAAATCTTCCCTCCAATATTTTACAGCTTGCTTTGTGGATGAGGTCCTCCCACTGGACATGGAAGCCAACGAGCTGCTGTCGGATACATTTGAAATCCTTAGCTGCAAAGAAATCAAACTCTCGGCTATGAGATCTATACCAGATGAAGACAATCAGCCTGAGGAGGATGAACTGGCCATGGCCAATGCTGTTATGCAGGCAGCACAAAAAAAACTCATTTCGCAAGTGAGAGCTGCTCAATGCACAGTGCGGAAAGGGTCACAGCACTGAGAAAAGTGTTAGCTAGACCTAGGGATGAGAACAGTTGTGAAGTTAATGCATCACTGTCCACACCATAGGATCCCTTTGATCTGGGGGCACTGGGACCTTGTGTGCAAGTTGCATGTATTGCAAAAGGGGAGTATTCTAACAGGAGTGCTGGTTTTTGGATGTTACCTGTATTTGAACGTCACTGAGTGATTGGAATGTGCTAGCAGTTGAGTGACTAAAACATTCAAAAAGATTCTGCCCTAGTTCAAGAGATAAACAGAGCCTGAATGTAAGTAAGTAGCCACAATTTGACTAAAATTAGTGAGCTTGTGCTAATTTGGTTCAAGTTTTATATATTTACTGTTTGAGTTTTACAATGGCTTTGACACAGTTCCTGATAACTTACCAGTAGAATAAAATAACCCCAGATAAAATAGATCGCATGCTAGTGTAAAGTGGAACAACCGCTGCACTGATACATGTATACGTGTATGTCCATCCACATACAGGATCTACGCATGCTAAGCAGTTATTCATTTGCTGTGCATCAATGCTGTCTTTTGCTTAGGAGTTTTTTTACAATACAAATGAAACAAGCCATCCCTTATCAAGTTATGCAATGTCTTGTTTAAACCACAGGTTCAAAAGAAGAACTTTATAGAAAACCTCATCCCAGTAATCACTTCCCTGAAGTCCCTTTTGGAAAACAAAAGGATGCCAGCTGTGAGGGATCTCATGAACTATCTCCGGGTAAGGAAAGATCTGTGTTGCTTCTCTCAGGCTTGATGGTTTGGGAGCCTGGCCAGAGAGAGAACCCAAGGCTCCCTGAGGAGAAGGTTGTGAAGCCCTTTGATATGGCAGTGTTAGGATATTCCAGTGAGGATGAGGGATGAAGAAAACGATTCTGTGGTACGCCAAGTAAAAGTCTCCCATGTGGAGCGGGCAGAATGATGGTAACACTGAATAGCCTAGAAAGTCATTGCCTCTGTGTTTAAGTGAGCGAGTCTTTTAGAAATAACTCTACTGTATTAGCTGACATTTCCTTTTGTACCTGGAGAGTTATGACATGAATTTAGGCATGAAATGCTAGTCAGAGGACATGTTGGAATAATCTAAAAATCTCTAATTGCTTCATGCTGTGCCTTCCAGGAGACGATGCAGGATTATCAGAATGAAATCAAAGAATTCTTTGCAGTGGACAAGCAGCTGGCAGCTGAGCTGGAGTATGATATGAAGAAGTATGAGGAGCAGCTGGCCAGAGAGAATGAGATGGGAGAAGATCAAGATAGCTCATTGCGGGGAGAGGACTGTATTGTCATGAACTCAGTGCAGGTACTGGCCTCCACCAGTCCCCAGAGAGCCCCCGTGGTCTATAAAGGATGCTGTAGGTCTAGTGGAGGGTGCCTGACAGATTCTCATGTACCTCTAAGTCATTGTTTCTGGAGCCATTCATAAGTGCTCTAAACCACCCACCCAGTCAAACAGCAGCGACAAACAAAAAGAAAAAACCTCCTGTCTTGGAACAGTGGTTTTCAGCCCAGGGATCCTGGGGGTTTACAGACTATGTCTATATGGTCTGCAGAAGATGACTCTGATCAATCAGAAGTGTGAATACAGGTTTTCCCTCACTTTATGTGGGTTCTGTATGTGTGAATTCACTCTATGCGATGACCCTTTTTATACCAAAAATTCGTTATATGCAAGGTAAATTCAGTCTTATGTGATCAGTATGGTGGAAGCGTGCAGTTAGCTGCTTTGTGTAGTGCATCGTGGCAGTGAAGCACACCAAAATAGTCTCCTGTGTGAATCGGTGCTCCTTGCTCATTGTCTGTGACACATTTCTGTAGTTGCCATCCCCGTTATGGTAACATTCACCACTACTCTGTGCTTGTGTGTACTGTCTCTTGTTCGTGAGTACCAAAATTGTCTTGTAAAAGTTTTAGAAATGGGTCTGAGGGTCAGTACAGTCAAGGTCTTGGAACGTATCCCTGTTTGTTACATTGTAAATTGGGTTCTCTTTATGTGAATTCTAGTTATGCACCATTTCCCGGAACGTGTGTACAGCATAAAGTGAGGGAAACCTGAATCCACCCTTAATGCAAAAGGATCCACATCTCTGTTCAAAATTTCCAAAGGAGTTCACTCCTCCATTCGAAATTTTTTAGGGATCCACAGATGAAAAAAGTTTGAAAACCATCATCTTAGAAGTACATCAATTCAAATGGAATTTTAGGAATTTTAATTGCTAATTTTTATATTTACTGTTTGCGTTGTTCTTTGCTTCCACAGCGAAAATATTACAATCAGGTTCCATTTAACTTCCTTGCCAATTTCAATCCCTGGCTTCCTTGTGCTAGAACCATCATGCAGTGTTGTTTGCAAGTCATTTTCCAAAGCAGAACATCATTTTTAGAAATCAGGGGGCGGAGAGGGCGGGACGGGGGGAATCGTGAAAATATCATGTCTCTTTGCAGTCTGAGAAGTTAATCAGAATGCTTTTGTATAAAAAAGCAAAATTGCATGTCACAGAGGAGAGAGCATCTGTCTGGAGTTGCTGGCTGTACCCAGTCTTTTTAACGTAAAGTTCTTCTCTCAGTGGGTATTAGTTGGCAGATGCATTGCAGAAGAAAGTTAGTAGTACAGCTCTCTGAAGTGTGTGCCCTTCCAAAACGTGAGTATTTCTAGCCAAGTAACTCAACAATGACCAACAGGAGCTTCATTATTAGAGAATTTAAAGTAAGCTTCTTAGGTGCCTGACTTTGAACCTTTGCTTTCTCAAAATGAAGTCCCTTTTAAGAAGTTAGGCACCCAGAATAGCAGTTTGCATGTGAAAATTTTGGCTTGTCAGTACTTTTCCTCTGGCATCACTAAGGAGGCAAGTCCGACACAACTTACAATCCTTCAGTATACTCGCTCAAAACAATGGCGTTATGGCATATTTATTTCCTCTCTTTCTTAGCGTTCTCCACGGTCAGAGACAGCAGTGCCTCCTAACAGGCAGAATAACCAAGCCCAGCGTCTTGTTGCCGGGAGACAGCCATCATCATCTGGGTCTCCTGCTTCCCCTGCATCTTCTGGGTTTACTACACCTGGAGCTGGTGTTTTGAAACAGCCACTGCCTAGACCCAGGTATGCACATGAGCATTAACTTGTGTAAGGATTTACAGTAAAAGCTCTGTTATCCGGCATCCCCTGGGAATGGGGGATTCCGGATAACAAAATATGTCAGTTAATTGAGTGGCCCTGGCTGCCGCTTCTCCCACCGCGTCTGGGGCATCCCTCCATCCCCCCGCCTCATCGCTGCCCCTCCTGCTGCATCACCACCCCTTCTGTGGGCCCTGCAGGCCCTGCGGGACAGAGAGGCAGGCCCCACGCAGCCTGTTATGTCCTCAGGCCATGGGGGCTTGGTAGCACAGGCTGCTTTGCCCCAGGCTGTGGGAGCTCAGAGAAACTGGAATTGCCACGGTGGCAGCAGCAGCAGGGAGTGGCAGCAAGCAGGCAGACTGGAGTGCAGCAACAGCTGGGTGGGAGCCTGGGGCCTGCCCCAGTGGGGTCCCGGTGTGGGGTGGCAGGAGCACAGATCCCAGGCTGGCAGAGGCTCTAAGGCCGGGCTGGCTCTCCCCGCCAGTGCAGCAAGAGCCAGCCCAGCCTCTGCAATTCCCAGCTGGCTCCAGGCTGAGCTGGATCCAGCATCACGTGAGGCACAGAAGGAGCCAGATGGGAACCACGTGGTGCTAGAGTGGTGCATGGAGGGGAAGCAGTGGACAGGGGAGTGGTGGGTGGGCAGGGAAGCAGCGACGGGTGGGTGCCCTAGGGCCAGGGCCAGTGGGGACCCAGGGCAGCGCAGCAGGAGCATGGAGCCCGGGCTGGCAGGAGCTCCATGGTCACCCTACATATCCACACACATACCCACATACTCCCCTGTCCCACATACACACCCACCCCCCACAAACTCCACACACGCACCCCCACATCCTCCCCCACACCCCACATATACACATACCTACATCCACAGCCCCCCATAAGCCTATACCCACCCACTCGTACCCCCCAAACTCCTTCACAATATACAAGAGTAAGACTTCATTTTAAACTATTATGTGAATCACCTCTGTGTACACTATGCAAACACATGTAAATCAGGACAAAAATATTTTTTGAAGTCAAATAAATATATTGTAGTAGGTGTTTTTTTTGTTTTTTGTTTTTTTTTAGAATATAACTTGGGTTTTTTCTGGCCCCAAGATGGCAAGCCCCTTGCTGAAAGGAGTACTTCCAGGGAGATGGGGAGGTGGCAAAGGTCAGATTTGGGGGAGGACTTCAGGTGCCAAGATGGTAACCAGGGGCAGGGCACTTGTCATGGGGCGGGGCTACCCACACAGCTCTCAACAGCTCGCTAAAACTCATTAAGCGGCCCTCCAACTAAAATTGGCTGCCCTGATTTAGATTCTGCCATAGCATTCCCTTTTGTTTCGTGTGTGTAGGTGATTGTAACTTAGCTGGGAGTGACCAAGATTCCAGTTACGTTCATCCCCTCCAGAGTAACTTGTAGAATAAAACTATTCTGGTGTTCTTGTGGCCTCTTGCCACTTAGGCGGATGTCCCTGAGCACCCTTGCCATCCTGAACTCTGCCAAGAAGGCCGTTGAGGCCACCATGAAGCAGCGCAGCAAGAGCGTAGGAGGAAGGTGTTCTCTTCCTTCTCCAACAAGTGCAGCTGGCAGTAAGCACGGTAAGCAGCTAGCAGCAGACTTGTGGGTGGTTCAGAATAGCTTTAATGGAAGCAACCTGACTGTTAGACCCGTGAGCTGGAAGTGTGAGTGTAGAGCTGCCTTGCCAAGCCCTATTCTGACCATTACTCTCGTCATTTTTTCTAGGGTCTTTCCGCAGCCTAAACCAACAGTCTGCTGGAGCGAATGTTCCCCTGGGCGGCCGAGCAATCAGTACGCCGGAGCGTAAGTAACTCAACTAGCCCAAGCAACTGTTCTCCTTCAATACAGCAGGGTAGCCTCCCCAGCCTCCCATTACAGATAAATCACTTATCATTGCTTATACACAGCAGTGTACTAAGGGCCTCCACCAGATTCAAGGTCTCTCTGTGCTGGGTTCTGTACGTAGTAAGGGACAGTCTTGGCTCAGGAGAGTAGACAGTCTAAAACCAGGGCGTCAGACATACAGCCTGGCCCGCAGAACTGTTGCATTCAGCCTACTGGTAGTAGCCATGTTCAGGCAGCAGCATAGAACTGTGGCTGGTTGGCAGTGCCAGGGGCATACGGCTGTATGGAGCCACATGTGGTGGCAATGAGTTGCATTCAGGCAGTGGCATGGAGCCAGTGGGCTGCCACCCATAGCCTGTGTCCATGGTGCTATGTGCCCCCAGCTCCAGCTCTGCACCACTGCCACAACGTGGCATTGTGCTGCTGCATACCCCACAGGCCCATGCTGCTGCCCAGCCTTGGACCCACACTGCTGCTTGAATGTCGCCCCATGGATCCAGCCCAGGAAGAGCCCCTGTAATCCAGATCTGACCCAGGGCCCAGGGGGAGTTTGACAGCCCTGGTCTAAAAGGTGTAGTTTAGGAACTCAAAAGATGTATTATGGAGTCAACACGTGAAGGCCTCTGAAGAGGTAATGGTGGACAGCACTCTTAACCCTTGGGTTTCTGAAGGGGGAAGTTGTCCCTATTTTCTTGGATACATAGTGGCTTGGAGCACTGAGCTGATTGACCAACCCCTCCCAGGATAACTGTGCTAGTGTCCTTTTACTCAGGGACTTAAACTATGGAAGGTAGGGCTAGGATTTGGATGGTCTTGATAAACTGGAAAATTGGCCTGAAATTAATCGTATGAGATTCACTGAGGACAGATGCAAAGTCCTGAACCTAAAATGGAACAATTGTATGCACAAATACAGACTGGGGAACAACTGGCTAGATTGCAGTGCTTCAGAAAAGGACCTGGGAGTTATTGTGCCATAAGCTGAATATGAGCCAACAGCATGCTCTTGTTCCAAATAGTAATCAACAGCATACTAGGCTGTATTAACAGAAGCATTGCTTAGAGGTCAAAGAAGTAATCCTTCCTTACCCTGAGTAGTGTGTCCAGTTTGGGGCACCACATTTTGAACTAGAAAAAGTCCAAGAGAGGGGGGAAAACAATTGGTTAGAGTTTTAGGAAACATGACTAATGAGGACAGGTTGAAAGAACTGAGATTTTTAGTCTTCTCTTATCCAGACTTTAAAAATTTGATAATGCATGCCAAATAGAGAGCAGATGGAGATAGACTATTCTCGTTGTCATGAGGGACATGAAAAGTCTCAAATTGGATGGTCTCAAATTGCAGCAGGGGAAATTTGGGTTTAATAGTAGGAAGACCTTTTTCACTCAGAGTGGTTAAGCACTGAAACAGATTACTGAGAGAGGCTGTTGGTAACTTCATCCTTGGAAGTTTTTAAGAGCAGGTTAAATAAACACTTGTCTAGAATGGTTTCAGTGGAAGCCAACCTTTTTTGCCATATTGGCTCCATACTCTCCCTGAGTGCCACTCAGATCCCCTTCTTCCGCCTGATCTGCTAATCTGCCATCTGCTCCCTACTCTGTGTTCCTTGCCGTATCTGCTGCTGTGTTGCCTGTTCCCTTCCTGATCTGCCATGTGTCACACAGAGGGCCTGTGCCACTACTGGCCTTTGTGCCACAAGTTAGCTCTTGCTGGTTTAGACCAGGACAATCCTGCTTTGAGCAGGAGATTGGACTGAACTGACTTCCTGAGGTTCCTTTCAAGTCCTACTTTCTATGGTTCTACGCTGCCCAGATCTATCAGCATTGTTCACATCATGTAGACCATGGGAGCCACGAACAGTAAGTACCACTTCACTAGAGAAGGCAGCTGCTGGGTCCTCACTGTTTATATCTTGACAGTTCTGGGCTAAGAATTTTCTTATCTGAAGAAGGGTCCAGCTCAGGGCCTAACCAAGACCCTCTCCTGTCACTGAAGGAGTTTATGAGCTATGATAACTGAGAGATCTTTGATTGGCTTGGATCCAATAAAGTGGCATTAATAAGCTATGAAATGTCCTCAGAGAATATGTGCTCTTTTCTAAATAAAAACTGATGCAAGCTGAGGAAACTATAATCGTTTTCTTCTGAACTGTGGCAACAAGCTATGTAGATTACAGCGGTAATGCATAGGGAGAACTCTATAATGCAGAGGTCATTAGTAAGTGTCTCTGCTCGTTATGGCTGTGGCAGCCAAATTACCACCTCACAAAATCTGACCTTCAGAAATTCCCATGTCTCTGAACCATTTTGGACAGCTTTGAATGTAATACAATATCCCTGTTGTGATTGCGTATGGTACAGATGCATTGCATATGGTATTCATTGTTTCTTCTTCAACAAATATAGCATTGTTTATGCTGCTGCTTGATTGTGGCAATGACAGGTTGGCTGCCATCAGAAGATAGTTGCACTTAAATTTTCAATGGTGGTGTGCACAGCTGTATGTACACAGCTTGCCTGTAACCTGTGTGCAAATACTTGCTGTGCACACAAAGAGAACATTTGTCTTGGGTTATAGCCAATTTAAGCAGCAATATGCTGTATACATATGCAAACATCTCGCTTCCATGTGCAGACAGAAGCAAAGCACAGGCAATTGTATGCATCTAATTAAAAACCTGGTCTTTGTATTCTGCATTCTCTACTCTTAGACTAGTTTTGTCTGTATGGATATTTCCACTCCATGACCTGAGCCACCTGGTAGTTATCTTTTATGCGAAAAATACTGGGATGCTTTGTAAAGAAAAAATCTTTACTTCATCTGCTGCATCTCTGACTTGGGGGCTTGCACTGCGGCTCTACTTATGAGCCATATGCTGAAGAAACAGGGAGAATGTTAATCCTCAGTGGTACGAGGCCTAAATTCCTGCTTTGTTTCCACACAGCATGTGTTCCTCTGCAGTGACACAAGCTGTCCATGGCATTATAGCTGCTTCGCTTAGTCTGTGTTGAGCTATCTCTACAATGGCATAGGGTCTCACAGGTTGTCAGAGGACCAGGGAAAAGCTTTTTTCTTCTTCTGCTTCATCATTTATAAAACTCTTGCAGATGCCATTCTTCGTAAATCATTTCTTGCTGTAGATGTTAAAAGTGACTGTCTTATTCCAGTACCTTATAAGAGACTTTTCTTGCTGACAGATCAGTTTTTGCCGCCCCCGAGTGTCTGCCTCATCCCTTTGAGACTAGGTATAGGTCTGGAAGAGAATAGATTGCTTCACTGTGTTTTTCAAATACAAATGCAAATGTGAATACAGCACAATATGCAGACAGAACAAGAGGGAATGTGAGAAGGCTGTTTGGTGGTAATTTGGGCCATTTCCCTCTTCCCCCTCATATTCCTATTCTTCATATTATACAACTATAGAAGGGAGTTTTAAAGAAGGCTTAGTCATTCTGTATGTGAAAACCAAAATAACTTAAGACTTTAACTACACACAGCCAGGAAATTCAGAGGTGAGTCTCTAGGTAGTCAAAAGCAAATCCAAGGAGAAAAGATAAAACTGGGCATTAAGAGCATGCTTTTATAGCTAAGGAAATGCACCAGGAGACGGCTAGGTCTCAAGATGAAGGTCTTTGTTTAACAGAGGTTTCCATCTCTTGTCCTACAAGCATCTGCTGTCCTAATTCCATCGGAAGTGTGGTGGGGGGCAAACGTATAAAAACCTCACTATTACTTCTTCTGTGCCACCTTTATATCTCCAATGAGATAAACTGATAGGGCTTTCATGGAAGTACCATTACAGCTAGCACTAATGACAGAAGAAGGTGAAGGGAGTACATTTAGGCCCAGGAAGTTCCCCTGCTCCTTTCATTGGGATAGGAGGAAGTCGTGACTACTTGAGGGATTTACCTATATACAATTTGGAAATTTTGCTGGATTGCGAACACTAACTGTGTGAACTGAAATAGCCATTTTCTAGCAAGGACTCTGCCATAGCTACATCCTATCATGAATAGCTAAAGTAAAATGCCTCTACCCTTGTTGAAAACCAATGAATATGTAAAAGAGATTGGTTTCTTCTCAGGTTATCTGCATCGGGCAATTGAAATTTCCAAGCCAAAAGAGGGTACTAACAGGTCCTCTTAAAGATATGTACCCTCTGAGCTAGCGGGGACTTTCTGATAGTCAGTCCTGAGCACACCAAGGAACACTTGCTGCAGGGGCAGAAGAAGAGCAGTGTCTTGGGATCCTGAAAGGACTGGTCAGAACACAGTAGCTCCTTCATGTATTGAGGACAGCGAGGGAGGGACTTGTACCCTGCAGGTTTTGTATTTTGCATGGATCTGCAAACCTTCAAGAACAATTTGTGCATGTTTTTAAGAAGTTAATTTGAAGCTTCCGTCTTTTGAGGCAGATGACTTTTAGAGTAATTGTTAGCGTGGGGGTCAGGGAGCAGTTATGCTTAGCCATTGGGAAGACTTGAGGTTTGGGGGTTTGACCTTTGCCTTAAAGTCAGCAACAGTTGGATGTTGGACCTTAGTCATTGTTCAAGGTGAAGACTTGACAAAAATTAGGTCAGCTTGTAAACAAGCCTGCGAGGGAAGAGGCAGTGTCTGGATACTGCTCAAGGTCTGAGGGCCAAGAAGCATGCAAGGTACAGGGTCTGGATCCAAACAAAGTAGCCAAAGCATGACCAGCAGAGGAGACTCCACCCAGTCTGTGAGATGGTATGGACAAGCACTACTAAACTTCTGGAAATGAGAAATCTTCAGTAGTCCCCTCACCCTAAAACTGAGGGTGTTTCTTCTCAGCTCTAATACTGAAAAGCAGATCAATTTGAACTAGTGCATGCACGTTAGCTTGAAGCTTGCAGAGTGCAACACAGCTCCACTTAAAACACAAAGGCAAAGGGATGCAGGATGCGGAACAAAAAGATGCAGATGTTCTCATTTTGAACTGAGTATAGTGGTACAGTCTCCTTCATTGAAAAGAAGCAGTTGTTTTGCCGTCTGTCTCAAAAGCTTGACTGGCATATTTCTGTTTCCTTCAGAGACGATTGATGACCTGACCTTTGGGGCCGGGGTCAGTTACATCAGCTTGACACACACACCTGGTTCTGACTCAGGCAAGTTTATCCTCCCACTCCTAAGATTAAAAAAAAATAATAATCTGACCTGTATGTTCACCATGTGAATGTCTGTCATTTGCAGAAAAAAGATCCCAGGATCAACAAAGAGATGTTCTATGCCTGATATCGCCAGATAAGCCGTAAGTTCAACCCAGGCCTTAGTCAGTATTGGCCAGAAGTAATCCTAGTAATGCTTTTAAAAATAAACCCGTACTCTTTTTCTCTGTAGGAAGCCCCTGCCACGTCAGTGGAAGGTAGAATCTCCAGCCAGGAGAGAAAGCAGCCCAAGTCCAGCTTTAAGGAGGTCCCTGCGGAGAGACCCCCTGAAGCCAGCCAATTGACACTTCATCATGTTGACCAAAAGCCTGTCCCTTTCCTTCAGGCTTGCTCTAATTATGTGTGTAAAGTTTCCTTGTCCCTAGTCTATTTATGTTATTACATACAACAGGTAAAGTTAGCTTAGCTTGTGGATAAATATAAGCTAGGGGATTTGAAGCTGTTAATGACATTTTTTTGCCATAGGGTGACCTGAAGTGCCAAGAAGCTACAGTATCTGGATAAGATGCAATACCAGCTGCACAAGGTTTATGACTTGTCCAAATGGGTATCTAAGTGCTATTGGCCGTAAATTCTAATCCAATGTATATAAGTGCAGCCATTAGAAATATTGATTTGGATAAACTATTGTGTTTATCCCAGCTTGGGTTGCCCTATTTTATTAGAAGGTGGTGATTGGCTCACATCATTCCCTTGATGCCACATTGTCCCTGTTCATAAAATACTACAGTTACCTTAATATTTACAAGGGTAAAATAGCTTGATGCTGCCATGCCTGCAAATCTGATAATTGCAAGTTGCTAAGGTTTTTACCTGTAGTTAAAGCTCCAGTGTTTTGTGCAGCTTTCCTGTTCTTTTCTAAATGGTAAATTTCCATACTTGGAACATACTATTTCCAGCTGTTAACCTTTTGTGAAAAATAAATGTTTAGAGAACAGATTCAACCCACAGCCTCTCCGCTTTTCTTGTTCTGACAGCATTGAATTATTTTCTTCTGTAAATTTCTACCTTTAAAGGATTTCCCTCCCTTTTGTGCCCACTACTTTCATCTTTTCCGTGGCCACGTAGAAGTTCTGCTGTTCTGACAACCATCGCAGCAGTTGGTGTGCACATCTGTGTAAACATGTGAATTCCTACGCAGGCATTACTTGCTATTACAGATGCTTACAGTGTCCCTTTCTTGATCGATACCCACTTCCAAGCCAGATGCAACTGAAGTATTCCATCCAGCTAGAATAATTGTCCTGCAGTTTAAACATGTGATCTTCACTGGGAGAAGATTTGAGTAATTCATTCTTGTATTGTGGATGGTAAGTCACACATTCAGATATTAGTGCTCCCTTAAACTGTTCATTGCAAAGAACTGTTACCACTGGATTTCTCACCCAACTTTCTGTCGCCGTGTGCTCTTAAGCAAAATCTTCCAGTGCTTACCTCCAAAACAACTGTACTACATTTGTATTAAATAGCTTGCTCAGCAGACTGCAAGAAGCAGCCTACCTTGAATAAAGCAGAACAAACCTGATCCAAATATATAAGCACACAATGGGCCCGATGATCTTCCAAGGTCCTTCCAGCCCTAATGTCTATGGAATCTATGAACTCAGGGCAGGCTTTGTTGCATGTGTAGAAATACGTTGCTTCATGTGTTTTTGTTGCAACATTCCCATAAATATTTACTTCTGTACTGAAAGGCCAAAACGAAATTAAGTAAAAACGGACAGGACAAAAACTAAGCTTTCATTTCACTTGTGTCATTGATTAGTTGTCACTCCTGCAGTTCTGAGAACACAGAGATAACTTGATGTGGGGTTAACTGTTGTCTCTATAAACTGATGAAAGTACTTGGATGTGCCTTGAAATACCAGCTTGACTTTTTGTAACCCACCCTTGGAAGGAGAATTATTTGGGAGAAGAGTAGAACTCTTTAACCCATCTCACTGAACTGAAAGCAAATACAAGGCTAAGAGTAATATTAAACTTAAAGAAAAACAAAAACACTCGAGAATGCTTTAATAGCTTCATATTTATGTAAAACATTCTTGGCAAAGTTAAATGTAATACATTAGTACAAACCTGCATATTAAACTATTTACAATGAGTTCCATAAATCAGATCTCATTACGTGTGGGGTGGTTTTCCCCTCATCTCGTTAGAGATGCCACTGTCACATTTTGATCTGAAAAACAAAGCTTGTGGCTTTTTGCAGTGAAGTGCTGCCTTCAGCAGAAGGTTAAGTTGCAGTCTGTGCTCCTCATTGTGCCAAAAGCCACCCTGACTCTGAGATTTTTCTTCTCTTCCTTATCTTAGATGTCCTAGGAGCAGCATGTTAAAAAAGAGTAGTGGCTAAAACTGGTAAAGGAGAAGTGTCTTTAAGTACCCTGTCACCATGTTGACTAGAGGACAACATGCAGCCAGTGGACAGTAATACCTGGTTTTGAAGAGCATCACTTAAAGGTAACCATAATTGCAAGGCAGCAGTGGTCAACTTGCCACCATCCAAAGAGCATGTGGGCATTGCTGTCCCAACTTCAACTCCACCTCAATAACAGAAGGGGAAAGTAGTGAGACAAGCATTTAAATAAATGCAGCAATGGCATGTCCAGTGAGGCCCCTTAAAAAAAAAAAAAAAAATCACTCAATATCTGGTGAGAAATCCAAGGCAGATTAATACAAAACACTAAAAAATAACACTGACAGTCCAAATTGCCAAGTATTCAAAATACTGTATGCATCAAAAGTTAAGACAACTCAATTTATAGTTGAAATACAAGAACACTAAATTATGCTACATTAAAAACCCATTCTTTAACCACAGCACAGTTGCAGTGTTGCATCTGCCTATTTTGCTTTTATCCAATGCAATAAGTGTTTTTCTGAAGAACCAGGGGTTCTAACTGATCCCTTTCAAAGTCAAAAAGGAGTGGTAGTTTTACCAGCTAAGGAAAAGTTGCAATTAATATTTCAAAACTACTTCTGTGACAAGCATTTTGCTTGCACAACTCCAGATTTTTTTACTGAAGCTATGCAATTCAAATTCACAGGAATTAAAATGAATTAAAGTTAACTGAAGAACTTGCATAGGGAGTGGTACATAAGTCACTCTGTTACCGGCTCATAACTGAATAAAAAAAAAAAAAATCACAGGATATTTCTTAGAAATAAATGTTTTCTTGCAAGAAAAATAATTTGAAATAAAAGCTGACTAGCTCCTACCTTAAAGTTACAAAACCCATCCCTGAGTGACTCTCCATTTTGTATCCTGTAAGATCTCTTGGCACAGAAATTGCTGTAGCTAGGTAAGGAGAAAAGGGATGCATCTCCATCTGCAGCCTTTTAAGTTGCTTTACTATACTCTTTGCAATAATACTGATATGCTCTGACAGTGCTCCGCTGTCACAGCATTTGAGCTCCTGTCTGTAGCCTAAAAATGACTTTTTTTAAAAATAGCAACATTATTTAATACTGTTGGCATAGCATATTTACATTTTAAATAGAAATGTTACCTTCTTTGAAGTAATCAAAATATATCTTTGCAAAAATTTAGAATGCAGAATTTTACAAAAAAAAATGGGAACTGTTTAAAAAAAAATAAAAGCTTGAAGACATCTCAGTACCTTTTGAAAATATTAGTCCCAAAGAATGCATTTGGCTTCAATTTTCACTTGAGGGATATTGAAACATTTAAGATTTTCCACCTCTACTGCAAGCGTCCTAACATAGTAAAATACAGCAGGCAAGCCTGCTTTGTGCTGATTAGAATGAAAAGCTGCCTTCATGTGGTAGAAGTTTTGTAAAGCCGTGTACAAAAGCAATCCTTTTGGACTGATGCCATACACCGCGAGTAAAAAGTTAAATACGGCAGCAGGGCCAAGACATTTTAACTCATGTTAGTTGCCTGCATGGTATCTGCACCCCCTCCCCACTATAGACTCAACTCAGCTGCTCATTCTGGACCTGCAGAATCAAAGCCTGATCTTGAAGTCCCCAAAAGTCAAATGGTTGAGGCTATTGCCATGCCCTGAACAGTGGCCAGCTAGCATAAATGCTCACACACGGGGATTTGTAGAATCGATGAGACAGATATTTTGTCAAATCATCCTAGCAGAGCTTCAAACATAAAATTATGCTAAGAAGGGCTCGGAGCCCTCATTTGTGCACAGCACAGAAGCCTAGTATGCTTCCAAATACATTAGGGTGAGCAGATTTCTCCTATTGCATCGATAAATCTTATTCTTTAGTCTCTTGTGCTGTGTCAGTGCCTTTTTGCCTATCACATTTAGATGCACGTTAACCTAATGCTGCTTCCCCATTTGGTTTGTACACTGTCTCGATCCCTGCCCCACAGGAAGAAGAGAGTTCTACAAGCTTCTGCAGTTCAGAAAGAAAAGACTTAGGTGATCCCGATCAGCATCTCTGGGGGGAGCCAGTTGTGGGGAGAGGGAGAATGGCTGGGCAGTGAGGATGTTCTTAAGCTTTGGCAAAAAAAAAAAAATCAAGTCCATGTGTGTACAAACTCCTCCAGGCATACTTTGTTCATCTTTTGTTCTCAAGTTCCTGGAGGAGGCATTCTCACACTTGTTCTTGCTGACTCACAGTATCGTATTGGCATCTCATATGACAAATGAAGACTTATGTCTGAAATCACCCTGGAATGAAACAGTAATGAGTGAAGGATTGTTCTTCTCCAGACAGCCTGTCATACCCACTGTCCCCATTGACATGTCCCATTGTAAAACAGGTACAATTTGCATATAATAATCTTTGATGCCTTGTCTAAATGCTGCTATCACCTGAGAGCTAGTACAGGTACACCAGTGACACTTGTCAGAAATCATGTAGGGCTCATTCTACTGGCCCTGATGTATTTTAAACCTCTGGGAGTCTGAACCCAGGCACTGTTCTACCTTGGGGTCTCTAGGAATGCTCCTCGGGGGTAGATTCCCTTGTGGGGAACCGCTTAAGACTCAGAACGTATGGTCCAATGGACTGACGGTCCCTTGGGTTCCCATGCGACTTGAACATACTCTCCTCTAGGACTCCAGCTATGTTGGCTCTCTGTTTAACCCTTCATCAGCATGTGATGGCAAAAGTACATAATGTGCACAGACATTTTGCATGCTGTTTTTTTTCGAAAGCAGTGTTTAAGTGTGTTTCCACCTCAGATGATGGACTAAGACTCAATACACGCCTCTAACATCTCTACCAAAAGGAGCTCAAAGCTTAGTGATTAGTTGAAATCCCAAGATGCAGTCATATTACTCTCTATGAAGTCACAACAGCTTGTCCACTCACTCGAGGGAAATGGATTCCAAGGCACCAACCATATACACCAGGTATATGTGGGTCAGTCACTGAAGATGCATAGAGCACTTGTACATGTGCTCCAGGGGTGGGGGGAGAGCAGTGCTTTAATTAAAGCAGCTCTGGGCGCCACTGTAATCAAAGTGCAGCCGCGTCTTGTGTATCAGCATCCCTGCAAATAAAAATGGCAGTGGGGGCATTTGAACTAAAGCTTGTTCAACAAGTTTTAGCTCGAGTACCCCCCACTGCCATTTTTAAGCATAGGGATGCAACACAGGAGCACAGCAATTGTCACGCTCCAGCAGACTTGATTAATTGAGTCTGCTCCGCCGCACTGGAATTCCAGCACGCTGGAGCAGCCTTGGCACATATGATTAGGTGGCCTTAGATCCTATTCTTCCCAAATAAATGTCTCAGCCTATTCTTTTAGATCATCACCCTCAATTTACTAGTTGGCTATATCCCAGTTGAAAATAACGTTTCTTCTCTGAAGAGGGACCATGTGTCCTAAACAGTGCGACTCCTGAACTGGCCAGACTCTTACAGGTTTTAAGAGATTATGAGTAAACCTTTTCAGTTCCCTGTTCTTACCTCCTCATCTGTCCGGATGTAGTTAACACCCTCTGGTTTGGCAGGAGTCTTGTAGCTGAAATAAGGGAAACAAATCTTATTCCTATGTTGATGTGATTTAATGATAAAAATTGGAGGGTTGGGTTTTTCTTTTTTTGTTGTTTTTTTCAATGAAAGGGCTTTTCTGTGTGTGATGCTGAAGCCAGGCCTACAATTTTCCATCACTCAAATTTTCTAGCCTCTTGTAATGCTTTCCTGTGCCTCTACAGCATCATTTCCTATTGTAATTGCAATGAGGTTAATTTAAAACTCTGGATTGGTTGTTGCCAGGCTTACTGCTAATCCTCTAGCATTGTGCACAGTTGCAGGAAAGTTCTTCTGGTTTGGTGCAACTAACCTGGTGCCCAAGAAATCACGTTTAAAGCCCTGTTTCCCCAGCATGTGACAACTTTCAATCATGTACTGTACTTAAATGGAGGGTTTGGGCTCTCTTGCATATGGGAGCATGGCTCTTGCTCCCTTTAAAATAGGACCAGCCAGTGTCTGACTCTAATCCTGGCTTCTCTCTCACTAAGCTTCCAGAATCCCTCAAACCAGCTCAATATTTGAATGAGCTGTGAAATTCTGCTTCTGATTTGGGGAATTATTTATATGCTGATCCCTAGGGCTGCTGCAGCTGTAAATGCTCAGACAAGGGAGGACTGAGTCACTGTCCATGAGATCAACTCCAAAATGGTCATTTTAATCCCAAATGTAAGTGCCAGGCTAAATTCAGTGAGATGCACTTTCCAGTGAAGGGGGGCTGTTCTCCCTCTCTCACTTTCTGAACCCTTCCTGATGCTTGTATGGATTATCAAATGTGCTCTGCTCAGTAAATCCCTGGTTTCTAAATGCAAGTAGCATGTGACCACAGGAAGCATCTGCCAAGGTGCTGTGTAAATGCAATGGGGATGGTAGAGGATTAGCAGGACTAAGCCCCCACCCCTAGCTAAAGTACCTGAACATATGAGAGAGAGGCTTTTCTCTCTCCGTGTTCTTGTCACAGAACTTCCCCTAGAAGCGAACATAATGAAACACTCCCCAAGGTTGGCACTTGCGTGTGGCCACCTGTTTCTACAAAGCTACGCTTCAAGTGCACTTGCAGTTCTGGGTGCTGGAAGAATTGGCCATAGCCAGGGAAATGGAAAGCCAAGCAGTGAACCGTTTGTAATGAGCAGGTTTCCTGCCCTGCTAGGACAGCTGTGGCTAGGAAGTGGAAAGGAGGATGTGGAAGACAGTTGCAAACTCAGCCTTACTTTTTCCCGTTCTGCTTGTTGTTTACGAAGTAGCCCCTTCTGTAGGCACAGCAGATACCAAGAGTTATCAGCACCAAAACCACTAGGACAACCAGGACTCCGCCAACAATCCCAGCAATATTAAGGTCATCTGTAGAGGAGAAAAGGCATCTGTCATTCTTCCCCCCAGACAGCAGGGATGTCCGACCCTGCACTGAAACTGCATGCCCTGCCCAAGATCCCATCCATTTCTGGCCTCCCTCCAGGCAAGCCCTCTGATTCCTTCTGACACCCAAACACAGTCTATGCTCCTGTCCCTCAGTAGAGTTAATCTCCACATGCACCCAAGCTTAAGCCCTGATTTTCACCCCTCTTTGTAAGCCCAGGAGTAAGGTTCAGAACTGTAGGGTTATGGGGACCTTGAGGGAAAACACTTTTTCTCTCTTGCTGCAGAAAGTAGGATGCGGATCAATGGCTTGAAGTTGTAGCAAAGCAGGTTTAGGTTGGATATCAGGAAAAACTTCTTCACTGTTAGAATAGTAAAGCTGTAAAATTAGGCTGCCTAGGGAAGCCGTGGATTTACCACCCCTAGAGGTGTTCAAGAAGAAGTTTGACAGCCACTGACCAGGGATGATCCAAGTGTAGCAATGCTTGTATTCTACTGTGGGTATTTCCCATGCTTCTAGGCTTTGCTGGTTGCCCCCTCTCCCCCTTTCTGCTACATGTGTCAGGTTATTTTTTAATCCTCGCCCAGAGGCATTGGGTGTTGGCTGCAGCCAAAGCTGGGGCCTTCAACTGGGATATGCTAGTGCTCCTGTTGGGAGCAAAGCCAGAGGTTCCTGGCTAGAGGGTCTTGCCCTTCCACTCAATGCCAGACTGATCACCATATATGGGGTCAGAAAGAAACTTGGGGGGTCATGATCGACCACAAGATGAATATGAGACACAAATGCAATGCTGCAGCTGGCAAAGCAAACAAAACCCTGGCTTGCATCTACTGATGCATCTCAAACAAGACTCAAGATTTATGCTTTATTCAGCCCCCCCCCCC